CACCGGCCGGGGCTGTGTGCCATTTTATAAAACGGGCAGAAGGCCGTCCGCCTTCGTGGTGTGTCATATCGTTCCACATGAAGACAGGGCTCGCGGCCGCCCCTGCGCCAGGCCCAGCGCGGGGCAGGCGTGGATCGGAGGAAACACACTTCGATCGGGGCCGCGGGGCCTGAGCCCAGACGCGCCGAGCGGCTCAGGGACGGAGCTGGGAGCTGATCAGGCAGCGCCGAGAGGGAAAACACCAAACAACAAAAAGGCCGCTCCAGACCGGAAAGAGTGAGAGATACTTTGTGTGGGCGGCGCTTTCGGACCCAAAGACAGCAGTGCCCGGTATGCGCCCTCCGCGCGGGGCCTCAGAGGGCACGCTGGTCGCCTTCTCGAAGGTGTGGTTTTCCAGTCTCTCTTCACATTTGCATGACACCGGGGCCCCGAGGGCTTCGAGAACGGCCGCCCTCTGACACCGGCCGCCGTCTGACCGAGGAGGTGAGGCGTGAGGTTCCTGGGGCCCTGGCTGTAGATACACTAACTTCTTTCTTTCCTTCCTTCCTTCCTTCCCTCCTTCCTTCCTTCCTTCCTTCCTTCCTTCCTTTCTTTTTCTTTCTTCCTTTCTTTCTTTCTTTCTTTCTTTCTTTCAAATATATTTTATTGATTTTTCACAGAGAGGAAGGGAGAGGGATAGAGAATTAGAAACATCGACGAGAGAGAATCATCCATCAGCTGCCTCCTGCACACCCCCCACTGGGGATGTGCCCGCAACTAAGGTCCACGCCCTTGACCTGAATCGAACCCGGGACCTTTCAGTCCGCAGGCCGGTGCTCTATCCACTGAGCCACACTGGTTTCGGCAACTTCTTTCTTTAAAAAAATTTTTTAATTTGATTTTAGAGAGGAAGGGGGGGGGGGAACATCCATGATGATGGTAGCAACTATACTTGGGTAAAGATTGCTGTTTAATATTTTAACCTTGCTGTTTTGGGTTCTTTAAATATATATATATATATATATATATATATATATATATATATATATATATATATAATTGATTTCTTACAGAGAGCAAGGGAGAGGGGAGAGAGTTAGAAACATTGATGAGAGAAACATCGACCAGCTGCCTCCTGCACACCCCCCACTGGGGATGTGCCCGCAGCCAAGGTCCATGCCCCTGACCAGAATCGAACCCGGGACCCTTCACTTTGAAGGCTGACACTCTATCCACCGAGCCAAGACCGTGGTTAGGGCTGTTTTGGGTTCTGTCCTCATTGAAAAGTTATTTTGATTTTCTGAATGTACGTGTGACTGTACACTCCCTCCCTGGCTGGCGGGTCGAATGTCCCAGTGACTGTGATCTCACTGGTCACGGAAGACATTCTCCCGAGACCCGGACAGATCAATGATCCTGAATGGCCCCCGCAGCTACAGATAACGGGTTTCGGCGGACTCAGGGGTCCCGGAATCAGAGGAGCACACGTTAGCTGCAGAGAGTGCCTTCCTGCTGACTCAGGGGTCCCAGAATCTGGACTTCACACTTATTCTAAAGGGCCCGATGGTTCCTGCTAAAGATAGCGTGTTTCCGTAGAGTCAGTGGTTCGGGGAGAACTAAGTTGCTCAGATTCTGCTTCTGTGAAAACGCTTTTCCACGAAACAGGTTCCTCATTCCAGACCCAGAGGTATAATCGATGCCTTAGTGACACTCTGCCCAGACGAGCCAGACGCGGCGAGTCGTTCGGGGCTGCGAGGTCTGGAGCCCTGCTCCCTCCCATGCCGCGGCTTTTAATAAATGAATTAAAAGGATTTTTTTTAAGTCCCTAATTGGACTTTTTGGGGCGTCCTTTGTAAGATGGCGGTTACATCACAACAATGAGAGGGGATCGCGGATCGGCTGCCTCCTGCACGCCCCACCCTGGGGATCAATCCCACACCCTGGGCCTGTGCCCTTGACCGGGAATCGAACACTGGCCTCCTGGTTCCTGGGTGCTGGCTCAACCACTGAGAAACGGGGGGCTGAGCGGCTGGAAGGGACCCCCTCCCCCCAGGCCTGAGCCCTCGGGCAGGAGAGAGCCGGTTGGCCGGCTCCTGTCCCCCCCTACCCCTCCTCCCCCTCCTCCCCCCCTCCCGCACCCCCAGACTCAGGCTTGCCTCCCTTGGGGAAAATTCCTGAATTCCTTTAGGGCAAATCCTCTTAACTCAGAAGTCCCGTAAACCCAACAAAATGAAAGGCCAGCGTGCAAAGCAACAAGCATTTATTTGAGATCAAAAGAGGAGCAGATTCCGGAAGCACCTGCTCAGACAGAAGCCCAAAGGGTGCCGGGCTTAGGAGGCCAAGGCCGGGGGCATTTCTGAGAAAGCAGAGGGGACAGGAGCACCCAGACAATCACAGCGACCCTCCTTCTAAACAGCGTTTTCAGTTCCAGTCCCGAAACCACAGCGTTCGTTTGATATCTTTACAAACAGCTCTTAGAGATACAAGGATGCCGACTGTTACCTTTGCAGCCAGCTCTTAGGGACAGATACAATGTTGCCACTTTGCACCTAGCTCTTAGGGACAGATACAATGTTGCCACTTTGCACCTAGCTCTTAGAGATACAATGTTGCTGCCAGCCCAGCCCAAGGGTTCTTTTGCCTCAAAGGTTTGAGGCATAAGAACGGCCAAGGCAATTCCTCTGGAGACCACCTCTGACTTCACTATGACGTGAGTGATTCCATTTATACAGGTTTTTTTCACAAACACTGAATTTCCAAGGCCCCCCTCCTTGCCCCTCCAAACCTCAAAGCGGCGCCGCAGGCTGAGAAGCAGGTAACCCCACACACCTGCCAGGGCCCAATGCCCAGGTGAACCCCACAGGGCACAGCCCCCCTTTGAAGTGACACCTGGCCAGCTGGCAGGTGCCCTTGCATCTGCGTGTTGTTCAACACGGGAAACAAACATCCTTTAAAATAAGAAGAAGAACCGCCAGGCCGCGGCTGGCCTCGGGACTGCTCCGCCCACGTGGAGGCGGCGAACGCCCACGGTGGGGGGAGGGGGGGCATGGCCCCAAATCCTCAGGGGCCTGAGGCCAACCTCAGGGGCCCCGTGGAGTGTGGTCTGACCCCCCAGTCCAGCCGCCTCCTGACACTCATGTCACTGCCGCTGCTCAGCACAGAGGCGAGGCGGGCGGCGGGGAGGCACCCCGAGACCCCGGTTCCTGGGGTCCCAGGTGAGTCCACGGACCAGGGCCCTGCTTCTGGGGAAACCCATCCCCGGGCGGCGATGCGGGGCCGGTTGGTTCCCAGGGTTTTGGGGAACTTTGAAAGCGAAAATCTGAATTAACGGTGACTCATGACGGGGCGACGGCGCCAGAGATGACACCCAAAGGGCAGCCCGTTCCCACCGGCTGGAGGTTTCTGGCATTTTTTTTGGAGGGATCCCCGGTCTGGTGTGTTTCTCAGCAGACGGTGGCTGTTGGAGGAGCCAGAGAAGCGGCAGCTGGAGACGGCGGCTTCGGGGCTCTGAGCTGGATGTTCCGGGGCGCCGCGGGGACCCGCTCCCCGGTCCTGTTCCCTGGCGGGCCCGCGGGGGTCCCCGCCGCCGTCCGCTGGTTTCCAGGGATCCTGAAGGGACTGGAGATCCTGGCAGGGGCTGCAGGAAGCGCTGAGGTTAGGAGAAGCAGACGACGACGACGATGGAGGAGACGCGCCCCCCGGTGCCGGCGGAGGGAGGCCCTGTGCCTGCGGAGGAGACGCGCTTGGAACCCGGCCGCCCCCGGGCCCTCCATCCATCCATCCGTTGGGCCGGGGCCGCTACGCGCGGGCCAGGTTCTGGCTCTCCGCCCGCGCTCGCCCTCCGCTGCCGGCCGCGCCCCGGCCCTCGGCGCTGGGGTCCCCCCCGGAGCGGGAGGACGCGGAGCTGAGCCGGCGCCGGGCCAGGCGCCAGGCCCGCGCGCGAAAGGAGCGGTCCAGCAGCAGGTAGATGAGCGGGTTGGCGCAGCCGTGGGCGAAGGCGAGGCAGGTGGCCAGAGCCAGGCCCCCGCGCAGCGCCCGCAGCAGCGCGCAGGGCACGGGCAGCGCCCGCAGCCGCGCCAGGTGCAGGGCGGCGCGCAGGGCGGCGAAGGGCAGCCAGGCGCCCACGAAGGCGCCCTCCACGGCGCACACCATGCGCAGCGGCCCGGCGGGGGTGCGGCGGCGGCGCAGGCGGCACCCGAGGCGGCAGTAGCAGAGCAGCGAGGCGGCCAGGGGCAGCGCGCAGGTCAGCAGCAGCAGTCCCAGCCCGATCGCCTGCCACGCGTCCGCCGGCCGCTCCCCGCACTGGCTGCCGCCGCCCGGCCGCGGCTGTAGGTCCCGGGCCGCCAGGGCGGGCAGCCCGGCCAGCAGCGCCGCGGCCCAGGCCGCCAGGCACAGGGAGCGCGCGCACCGCGGGGAGCGCAGCGGCCGCGCCCCCACCGGGCGCACCACGGCCACGTAGCGGTCCGCCGCCAGGCCGGCCAGCAGCAGGGCCCCCGCGCAGCGCGACGCGGCCACCGCGAAGCTGCTCAGCTTGCAGAGCGCGCGGCCGAAGGGCCAGTGGCCGCCCGCCGCCGCCGCCGCAGCCCAGAGCGGCAGCGTGAGCAGCAGGCCCAGGTCAGCGGCCGCCAGGTGCCAGGTGAAGGTGTCCGCCAGCCTCGCCCGCGGGCCCCGCCGCCGCCCCGCCAGCAGCCGCAGCACCAGCGCGTTGCCCGGCAGGCCCAGCGCGCAGGCCGCCAGGTAGAGCGTGGGCACCAGGACGCGCGCGTGGGGCAGCTCCCCGGCCGCGCACAGAGCGAGCTCCTCGTCCAGGGCGCCCCACCCGGACCCGGACCCGGACCCCGAGTCCTCCCAGGGCGCCGGGCTGGGGCTCCAGGGCGCGGTGGGGGGCATGGCGATGGGCCGAGGCCTGTGCGCGCCCAGGAGGCACCCAGGACGCAGCGCGGGGCGCAGGTGGCGGGCGGCAGCTCTGTGGGTGCCCAGCACCTCCCTTCCTGCCTCCCAGACCCAGGGGATGGTGGGCAGGAAGGGGGTGGTGGAGGGAGGGAGAGGGGGGAGGGGTGTGGAGGAGGAGGTGGGGGGAGGGACAGCTCCCAGGTGCAGGAATCGAAACTTCTCCATGGCTGGGTCCTCCGAGGACAAGTCCTCGGGGCCTCGGGGCTGGGAGACCCGCCTGGCCGCCACGGGGAGCCCCCTGCTGTGAGGGTGCAAGAGCGGGGGTGCCCCAGAGCCCCCCAGGCCCCGGCCGCTGTGTGCGCAGGTGCGGAGGCTGGGGCGTAGGCATGGGGCCTCGTCTGCACCCGGCCACGTCCTGCAGGGAGGCTGGGCCGAAGGGGAGCCTGCCCTTGGGGATCTGCCTCGGACCCGGGGGCTGGCGGGTCGGCAGGGCGCCCAGGTGCACTGGACCTTTAGCGGGTCTCCCTGTGGTCCGGTCTCAGGCCCTGGGGGGCCTCCAGGGAGGCCTCAGGGAGCCCCAGGCCCGGCCCTGACCGCTGAGCCGGCCAAATGTAGCCAGCACTGGGTCTACTGAACAGATCCAGCTCCTCCATCCTCACTGAGACCCCCTCCCTCCCTCTTCCGGACAGGTCGGGGTAAACGTCTGAATGCAGAGTGGCCTAAAAAGAAACAAACATATACAGCCCTATCCGGTGCTGCTCAGTGAATAGAACGTCGGCCTGCAGACAGAAGGGTCCCAGGTTCGATTCCGGTCAAGGGCATGGACCTTGGTGGGGGGCACATCCCCAGTGGGGGACGTGCAGGAGGCAGCTGATCGATGTTTCTCTCTCTTTCCCTACCTCTTTGTAAAAAATCAACAAAAAACACACACATATATATATGGCCTTTTTCATTGATTTCAGACAAGAAAGGGGAAATAGCCCGGAGGAGGGAGAATCACTGATTGGCTGCCTCCTGCACGCCCCCTACCCAGGCCCACAACCCCAGCCTGTGCCCTTGACCGGGAATCCATCCGTGACCCCCTCGTTCATAGGTCAATGTTCAACGCCTAGGGCTGTGGTCGGCAAACTGCGGCTCTCGAGCCACAGGCGGCTCTCTGGCCCCTGGAGGGCGGCTCTTCCACAAAACACCACGGCCTGGGCGGGTCTGTGCGGAAGAAGTGGCTTTAGAAGGAGTTTAAGTTTTAAAAAATGTGGCTCTCCAGAGACGTGTCCGTCGTGGTGCTGTTGGTATTTGGCTCTGTGGACGGATGGGTTTGCCGACCACGGGCCTGATTCAAACCAGGGCCCTTCCGAGTGTCTGCGGGGCCTGGTCCCCCATCCGCCTGGGCCCGGAGCCAGGCCTGCCCTGGGGCTGAAGATCGCCCGCCTGGGGGTGTCCCCATGGCCCAGGCGGTGCTCTCCCGGCCGGGCCTCTTACAAGATGGAGGAAGGCAGCGCGAGGGGAGCCGGGGAACCACGGATGCCCGCTCCTCCCTCCAGAATGTTCCAGCCGCCAGGCTTGGGTTCCCCCTGATGCCCCCACACCCAGGGCGGGGAGATCTGAGGGCTGGGAGACTCGGAGACCTTGCCCTGATGTCTGACCCCACAGGGGCCTGGGGGGCGAGCCTACTCCCTTGGTGGCACCAGGCAGCGCCCGCTTGCCAGACCCAGCGCCCCCAAAGCCAGGGGTTCTGACACAGAGAGGCGACGGGGGTGGGGGGGGACGAGAATTCGGGGAGCGGCCGAGCGGGACTGGGCGGGTGGGGAAGTGGAAATGGTTGTTTGTTAAAAACACAGATTCTGGCTTCCTGGGCTGTGGTCTCGCGCCCGAGGGAAGGCGGGGCCCAGGGCACACGCGGCTTCTCTCTGCGGGACCTGCCCCAGGGCCTTTCGGAGCCTGTCTGAGGGCAGGAAGCGGAGGGGCCCGGCCGCCCCGGGTGGGCGCCCAGCTCGTGGCCGGGGACCCAGGCCCACTTCCTCCTTTCCCCACGGGAGAAGCCAATCCATCAGAGACACCCTCCCCGATCTGGGAGGCCTGGGGGCCTGCTGGTGGGGGTCCACAAAGCCAAGCAGCAGGGCCCCTCTCCCCTTCCCTCCCCCCCTCATGCTCAGGGCTTCTCTGTCCATCACGGTGATTGGCAGGTGAGGCAGACACACCCAAGACACAGGCAGCTGATGCCCCGACCTGGACTGCTTTCAGGGTAGATTTTACTTCCGCCCCTTGTTTACTTATAACTCTCCCCTCCAATTAAAATATATATATATATATATATTTGCCCTGACCGGTATGGCTCAGTGGATAGAGCGTCGGCCTGCGGACTGTGCCTTGGTTGTGGGCACATCCTCAGTGTGCAGGAGGCAGCTGATGGATGTTTCTCTCATCGATGTTTCTTTTTCTTTTTATTAATATATTTTACTTACTTTTTACAGAGAGGAAGGGAGAGGGGGAGAGTTAGAAACATCCATGATGAGAAACATCCATCAGCTGCCCCCTGCACACCCTCTCACTGGGGATCGAACCCACAACCGGGGCGTGTGCCCTGCCCGGGAATCGAACCGTGACCTCCTGGTTCACAGGTCGATGCTCCACCCCTGAGCCACAGCATGTGTGGCTTAGCTCCGCTGTGCCAGCCACCGGCGTGGTGAGAAGGCAGAAGCCACATCATCACCCAGGTCTCTGGGTTGCAGGGCCCCGGGCCATGGCTGGCATCACAGAGGGCGGCTCCCGCCTCCCGGACACACGCTCTCTCTGCACACAGTGGGAGGTCGCTCTCTCTGCACACAGTGGGGTCGCAGTTCACTAGGCCCGAGGTCCTGGGCTGAAGGACGGACAGATGGCTACCAGTTCAGTTGCTGCCGGTTGACAGTAACGGAGTGAGTGTGAGGCCCCCTGGCAAAGCCACCTCCTCAGGGGCCACGCTCTCGGGGGACTCACTGGCCCGGTGGCCGGGAATCAGTGACCAAGTGGCCACTTGATGGGGTTTCCTACAGACCACACAGCCCGGGGAGGTGGTGGCCGTGTGTGTGTGTGTGTGTGTGTGTGTGTGTGTGTGTGTGAAGGCCTGGCGGGCACCAGGGGAGGATGTTAGACACTCAACTCTTTCACACACTGGCAGGCTCCGCACAGGCGCTGGTGGAGGGCAGGGAGGGTCTCAACGTGAGCCCCGGGCCCCGGGTGACTCAGAGGGAAAGCCGTGGCTGCAGCCGTGTGCCCCGGCCTCACTCCCTCCCCCCCAGCCCCTTGTGGCCCCTGGCAGGTGGGACAGGGCAGGGAGAGGCAGCCAGGCCTCCAGGAGCCATGCAGGCGAGCCGACCCCTCAGAGAGGCCTCAGGGGCGGCACTAGGGGGTCCCCGACACAAAGGCCGAGGATTTACTTGGTGAGGCATCCCTCCCGTCTGGGCCACTCCTGGACCAGGACACACACACACACACTCCCGTGATGTCACACACACACACACTCGCACACCACACACACACACACACACACACACACACACACACACACACGGCTGGCAGGTGGAGACAGAACTGCATGACGGGTTGCCCTGAGCCCGAGTGTCACCAACAGAGCCCACATCTCACTCCGGACGCGGTCTCCGGTGCCATGCGTTTATTGGGGCGCGGAGAGCCGTGCCGTGCCAGGGACACGGCCGAGGCTCACAGCACCAGAAGCCCCAGAGGACACGGTGCCCATCACCCCGCCCCAGGCTGCGAGGGCGGGAGGCGCTGGAGCGGTGCACGTGTTCGGCAGACAGCTGAGGCACCGGCGCGGGCGCCCGGCTCGGTGCCTGTCGGCCGGCCGGTCGCCGGGAACCCCCGGCTGCCGAGTCCGTGATCTGCCTCTGACTCTCCAGACGTGGTTTTCAGGAACGGCTGCTCCGTGAGATAAAAAACCCACAGACGGCGAGACACCGCCCAGGGCCTCCTGCTTAGAAGCGGATGCCGCCCTGAGGGGGCGGACTGCTGCGGCCGCGGGACCCAGCGCGGGGGAGACCAGGGGGCGCTGCTCGCCGTGATGCCGCCTCCACGGACCTGCGTCCGGTCCTCGGAAAGTTAGCGTCCCGGGCAGCACAAGGAAGACGCTGCGAAGTGAGACCCGGTGTGAGAGGCCAAAGGCCTGCAGACCACAGGGTCCCGGGTTCGATTCCCGGTCAGGGCACAGGCCCAGGCCCTGGGTTTGATCCCAGTGTGGGGCTTGCAGGAGGCAGCTGATCCAGGATTCTCTCATCTTGATGTTTCTCTATCCCTCTCCCTCTCCTTTCCTCTCTGAAATCAATAAAAATACGTTTAAAAAAAAGGCCAACTGTAGTTATGTAAAATGCTCACTAATTCTCTTTCTGGTGACTGTTTACCACATCTCAATTCGGTTTATTTAACCTAAACGCCATTTGATAGCTGCGTCCCCCTAGCGTGATACACCGGACGGTCACGTGTGTTTCCCCGTTTTAATGCGCACGTCACACACGGCGTGTATCCACTTACAACATGAGAGCCAGGCGGCCCCTCTCACATGCAGACAGCAGGTCAGGCGCAGTTTGAGCTACACACACATCTTGCACAGATACTGGGGGGGGGAACCTGCGAACTCTTTACAGCTGTAACAAATATACATAAATATGAGGACATAAATTACAGTACGGAATCGACAGCATCGAGGACGTTGGTGACAGACTCGGGGCGGCCCCGGCCGACATCCAGCCGACTCTCTTCATTGCGTGCGGGAGTCTCAGGAGATGCCAGTGACATAACGACGCGGTGAGTCTCCATCCTCCTGGCGCGCTGAGGCTCCCCTAGGCCCACGGCCGCTGCACCCACACGCCCAGGCCACGTGACCGTCCGCATCTTCCTGAGACGAGGCTGCCCGGGGACACCCACGCCCACGGCAGGTGTGTGCTCGCTGAGCCGCCCGCTCCGGTGCGGTAAAGAAAAGCCAACGTGAGGAACGCAGGGAAGCTGCTTTAAATGAAAGTGTAGCCCTTGAACAAGTGTAAGTTCTAACGGAGTCTGGACGTCAGTTATAAATAAAAGAAGGAAAAGAGCCGCCCCGCCCCGCCCCGGCTCAGGCCCGACCCCGGGCGCAGAGCAG